GGCTGATAGCGCAGGGGAGAAAACTACGTACCGCAGGACTGACTGGCGGGCAGAGCGCACCAGTGTGTTGCAGAAGGGTCGGGCRCTCGAGTGGTGCAGATCCTCGATGGACCTGCTCCATGACTTCGCCTTGTCCAGGAAGCCATCCTCCCCTTTCTCCGTCCCCTCAAAGTCCAACCTGGGCCACAGACAGGCAGACAGAGAAGCCAACACAGAGGCACGGAGGGGGAGATGAGGGATCGAGGGAGCTTAGGTTAGCAAGGCAGCTTGCTTGAGAGCCAGGGGTGGTGGGGTGGGGAGGTTATCACCAAAACTTGACAAGAAGCTGCGTCATGAAGCTCAGCACAAAGATTCTGACCCATTCAGGCAGCAGATGAAACAAGTAGCATGGATCCAGAAAAACACATTCAGCTTGCAAACACATCTGAAACCCATTTTAGATGCACAGGCAGCTTCTTACAGGCTCTACGGCAGCAGGATTCACAGCCCGACCCAACTTTAGGAAAGGTTCTGGTCCTGAGAAGCATGTGTGTGTGTGTGTGAAATGTGTGTGTACTCACATCACAGCACACTGGGCAAAGGAGAGGTACTCCACCAGGACATCCAGACCTCTGTTCTCATCATTGAGGAACTCCCTGACCCACCTGAGACACACAGGAAGCAAGAGCAGAAACACGCCCACGTTTTACTATTAGGCTTAAATTTGACACTTTAAAGGAGAAGAAGTGACGATGAACAAAAAAAACACCAATTATAGTGATTCCTAAATTGCACAAAAAAATGTGACTGTACTTAAAGCGCCTGTGACGTCAAATTTTTTTGWGATACATATGAATGCATTTTTAGAAAGAGGACATTGATAAAATATTGTAAAAGAAATTTCATGTCACTGAGATGAACAGTTGTTGAGATATTTGCCTGTGAAGTAACAGGAAGTGATGTCAAAGGGGAATGTCTGCATGTGAGCACAGCATCGCTACAACAGCCAACAATCCAGACTGTAGAGAAAAATTTGATGTTTCTTAAGATTATTTTGAGTCACTATCAGAGAGATGAAGAGTCAAAGTTCAAACAATGTATCAATAAACAAAGACCAGAGAGTTTTCTTTGTTAAAGAGTTCCCCTTTGACGTCACTTCCTGTTTCAYTTTGACCAAGCCAAGTTCAAAAGAAAATATGCAGTTATGKGACAAAATAGKTTAAATCGTGTGTTTTATTCCAACTTTCTTAAATATAAAGATGTTTTCTTTGACTTTTTGTATTTGAAGAATATGCATGTCACAGGCACTTTAAAGTGCTTATCTGGAATGYGAAAAAAATCTGGTTTATTTAAGGATTTTTTTTCCCCTTCCATTAGAAAAACATAAAACATTTAATTTGTCTTGATGAAAATATATTATTTGAAAAATATAAATAAATAAAAAAGAGGAGTTATGGTAAATTCTTCAAGAAGATTTACAAGAAACTGGAGGAAATAAAAGAAGTTTCACACATAAGACAAAAACGACATGTAAGTTTGACCCACTGTATACACTGTATACCTGAGGTTTACTCCTTTATGAGTACATTATCCCTGATGGGTCAAGGAAAGAACAATGGCTGGATTACAGTTTTCTTGGCAGATATCAAAGAACTTGTGTTTTTCAAATCTAGTCTTGTCAGTAAAGTCCTTTAATTTGCAGTTCTCACTTCTTTTATTGTAAAATCTCTTGAGGAACAAACACAACATGGACTTAAATGTATAAAAGTACTGACAATGAACAAAAAGAAATTGCAACGGTAAATGCTAAATCCTGAAAAGCAGCTTCCTAAAGCAGGAATAGAGGCATCTACTCCAATACAAATGTATTCACCTTAAAAGCCATTAAAGCAACTTTTCCTTTAGTCTGCGAGGATTTCCCATCAGTGTTTGCAACTAAAGAGAACATCGCTGCAGAACGTAAAAAGTTGCACATCCTTTTTCTGAGGTTTGCAGAACCTCCCAACAAGGACGCATCTAAACACCTCTCTTTTACTGGAGGTGCGTTCACGCTCTCCATCTTGTTTCTTCCTCATTTTACAATCTGTTAAAGCAATGATGCATTAGAATGTATGTCTCTGACAGAACCAGGCTAAAGTATGAAAGAACTTTGTAAAGTTTTCCTCACCCTGGACTGGAAGAATTTGGGGGAAAAGTCAATGGAAACAAACCAAGACCAAAAAAAAAAAATAGCTAAAGCAACTCAGGCTTCAGATTTCGTCACCATTTGAACTTCTGTTTTCCACGACTCCAAACAAAGGAATTCCCTCTGCGACCAGAGAAAGAATGTAAGGGGGCATAACGTTTAGGAGAGCATGGGCTCGGGTCWGAACCCTGACACTGAACAGTATTAGGTCTGCCTCCCCCCTCTAGCAGAACCCCCTTCAGTTCCTCCCCATTTCTCCAGGAAACCCTTGAGAGGCAGGATTGGGGTGAAACKTCTTAAAATAGTCCTGAAACCCCTGGTTATGGTTACGGGCTGCGAGTCGGCCAATGGATAAGCCAGGCAGGAAACTAATCAAGACCCTAAATGAAGCAGCGGAGGAAAAAAGAGGGGGGAGAGAGGAGAAGGGAACAAAGCAACAACAAGAATGAAGTGTGTGTGTGTGTGTGTGTGGGGGGGGGGGGGTAAAGAGGTAGGTTGATGATCAGTTTCCTGCCCCAGCCTCCCAATCCCTCCTCGTCTGTGAGCCCCTTTTAGCTCCGTCTGCTTCTTTCCAACCAGTTGTTATTTCAGATTGTCTTGGCAATGTTGGGAAAAGCGCACAGACACACACAGACACACACAGAATAAACCAACATCTGTTACACTCAATCCCACCTACCAAAGTCTTCTGAATTAAATTCTTCTTTTTTATTTTGTGTTTTTTTAAGTCTTTCTGTAGTTTAAAGCCTAATTGTTTTCTTTTTTTTTTTTTGGCCTTTGTGTGTTTATTACCTGCTAATTTCCAGCTATTTTTACACAACACTGTGTCTGAAAAGTCTTGTGTTTTGTTTTATTCTGCTTGTTTTCTGTGTCCAGCCCTCCAGTGGTCAGCTGTGCTTCCTGTCCCTCTGGCATACGCACAACAAAGCTTCCTGCTCAGCACTACAGGGGAGTGGACAAGGACACACACACACACATATATACACACAATGGCTGCCATCTGGGCATTATGAGGACCAGCTCTGCAAGGTAGAGCTGCAGGGTTAGGCAAGCTAGAACAATATGGTGGTGGGTGGTGGGCGGGGGGTGAACTCGAGCTACGCAGCAGCAACGCACAAAGGAATATTCTTCACAAAAGACAAAACAATAAAGCGGTTTCCCCGAGCTTTGTGCGCCTGTAAATACAGCTGCGCAGTTTATCTGAAGATAAGAGTTGATTACCCAATGTGGTTTGTCCTCAGAGATATCTCCAGCTCCCTCAGGACTTTTGTGGATTCCTGCACACGCCTGCGAAATTTCTGTAAGGAAAAACAAAATTCAYCACTGTGGAACGGGGTTCTGTAGGAGGGTCATAAACAGTTAATATCTTACCTGTTGATGGATGCTTATTTAAATTATTGTTGCTTGGAGAAATAAAGTTTTATTCTGACCAAACTGATGAGCTAACAGCTAGTTTAAGCATGACCTAAAGTGAATTGTTACAAGAGTAAAACAGATCCAGTCTGTTATACCACCTTTGAAACCTTTACATCACCATTTTTATGCATTACACATTTATTCACATAGAATAATACGGCAAGCTAGCAGCTAACTGTAGCACTTCCAGTGCAGCCTGAGGCACCTCCAGCACAAATTACACAAAATATTTTTGCTAAAATTAGTAAGATTCAAAAATTAATTGTGATGTAAAGATTTCTAAGTAGTTTCTACGCAAACCATCATAAAACTTTTAAATTAGGTTTTTCTTTTTTAGGACGGCASCAATCTAGTTTAATCTGGCTGTTAGCTTGGTAATCTGGTGAGAATTAAACTTTTCTTTTTCTTCATAAAGGAGGTCATTTTTTAAAAAAGCTATCAACAGGTAAGATATTAATTATTAACCTTTCCACAAGTTATCACTCGAGAAAAACCTCCTCCAATGGGAAAAAAAACCCACTAAACCTGGAGTTCAGTCAAAAATCTGACATTTTTATTCTATCTAGTGACATTATTTCAGCGGTTCTGAAACAGTGGTGGGCGACCCCCAGGAGGTGGGCACAGTGCCATGATGGGAGTCAGATTATTGCTGCATTTTGGGTTTTGTTTTTTTGTTTTTTTTGGTCCTAAAATAGTTAAACGAACGCTTAGATTTTGTTATTTTTGTGTCACACAAACTGTGTTTTCATGAAGATCACACAGACAGACAGTCAGTGTGGTTTGAGGTGTGGGTCCACTCATTATTCAGATGACACATGACCCAAAGTATTTTTATTTATTTATTTTTTTTTGGAAGAGGATGTGTCACCTGAAATCAGGGACGTACAATCAGACCATGGAAAGACTGATAATGGCTGAGGCGGCCAAATCTGAGCGGGATGCCCAACATATAATCGAACTGATGTGTTTGAAAAGATGTGCAAACTCTGTTTACTCATGACGTGTGTGAGCGTGGCCTCAGACAAGACAGAGAAGGTATGTCTGAAAATCTGAAGGGTTTTCTCCTTTCAAAGAGGGGCGCAGCATGAAAAGCTTCAGAATCACAGACTTATCTGATTTCAACTAATGTGCAAAAATAAGTATAAATCATTTCATGACAACAGTAAAAAAAAAAAAAAAAGATTTGTGAGGTCTGACCTTTCGAGTGACTCCAGGATCTAAGTATCCTCTGAGCTTCTGGATGTAGGTGTGAGGTGGGTTCTTCACCTGAAACCTCTCCTGAGGACACACAGAGGAAACAGTGATATGTGTGTGTGTGTGTGTGTGTGTGTGTGTGTG